CCCCCCCCCCCCCCCCCCAGCATGGACCCGCGCTACTCCATGCTGGCTGCTCCAATGGCAGAGGCATGGCCAGCCCCCCCAGCACAACTTCCCTGCAGCTGAGAGCACACCCCTGGCTCCTGGCCAGAGCAACTGCAGACATTTCCTCAGTTCACAAGGAATGTCCATGCTGTTGCAAATCAGTTCAGCCTAGGCAGGTTAGACTAACCTGCAAAGATTGAATCAATTAAGGCTCTGGCTTTTTGAATGTATGTCCCTAGCCCCGAGCAAGGTTCAGTGGTGTGAATGCCAGCCCACACAAACAATCCACACCAGTCTGAACTTGATAAAACGTGCACAAAAAAACATTGGGGTGGCACAACCCTAGAGTTGGTTGTGAACCAAGTTGTGGCATTTTCATGGTTCCACATATTATACCCTATATACAAGTTTCTGTTACCATATATCTCTTGAATTCTGTGCCAGGTTCCCAGCCCTAGATAAGATCCTGAGGCTTTTTTTTACTGGAAACAGAATTAAGAACAACACATGCAATTAGCACGAGCTGAGAATCTCTGACTAGGCTCCCAGCAGATCCATCAACGTATAGCAAGTAAGTTTAACATTTGCAGACAAGGGAGTGGGTGCACTATCAGTCTGCCAATAAATCTGATGCCTGATTCCTGCAGCCAAATCAAGTCATGGAGGCTGTGTCCTTCCTGCTGTGTTCAGAAATCCGGCCATATTTAAAAGAAAAAGAAATGAGAGAGCAATTCAATTTAAATCACTTATTACTGGGCTGAAAATTTCCCCTGCACAGAAGTCTCTAACTGGTTTCTAAAAACCTGAAATCCATCCAGATCAGTTCTTAAAAGGGAATATACTTTTTTCACCACTGGCATCTTGTTTTAAATTGAGACCCTTCTGTTTAGGGAGAAGTGTTATCTGCAGGACCTCTGATTTTGGCAGAGGGAAGATAAATCTGTTATCAGAAAAGAATAGGCAATATAAATTCCACAGCTGTGGCTGAGGCAAAAGAGGTGGCTGAAGGGGGTGCAAGTAATATCATGGCCCAAGCACTACAGATATCGTGAGAAACAGGCAAGATGCCTAAGCTGGTTCTTGCTATCTCAGACACTGATGATGATTCTCCCAATCTTTCTGGTGTTCTTGCTGTTATGGACTCCCTGTTCTCTTCAGCTTGACACATTTACACAACATTAATAAATTGCACCTGACACTACCAGCACTCAGCCTCTAAAGCCATTTGTCTTAGCAATAAACTACTTGGTCAAATTAAAAATTAGGATGTCAGGGTCTCTGGCATAAAGGGATGCTTAGAGGATTAATTAGTTAACGTTTGTAAAATGCTTTGAAGATATTGATTGCTATCTAAGTATTTTTAGGATAATTACTGATACCATTGTCATTTATTTATTCTCTTTTTAGAAAGCTACTCAGCTACCAAATTGATCACTGATACTGAGATGAATAGACTAAATATAAACCACTTGAATGATTCCTTCCTCAGAGCATTCATGAGCCTCCCATCCAGGATCTGTGTTTGTCTTGCTTGGACTTAGGTCTTTTGGTCAAGTATGTTCTGTCTTTTGTACCTGTACTCTGGCAAATACACTTTGGCCAGTGTTCATAACAGGTGCTTCAACTGCTCGGTATATGACGTATGTCTTCATATGTGTTTGGAAATGACTAGAAACAAAAGCTCGTGAGGACTGGATCCAGCAAAGGACTTATTTGCTGCCATGCTAATTATGACCCTTAAATGCACTGTAGGCAGCTGCTGAATTATAAAGAATAATACCCAGAGAAAGGAAAGTGATGTGCACAAACCCATGTATTTTGGCTGCTGAGAATTTACTTATCCATACAGTGCATTCTCTGAGACTGCTAAAGTATTAATAAAAAAACAATTATTTGCATTTAATTATTTGCAAAATAAATTACTTGCATTTTCACAGACCTGCATTTTGCACATTGGCTTCTATTCCATCCAGGAGAACACAAAACAACAGGAGCAGATTCTCCCTATGCTGTTAATGCCCAAAAGCTTGCAAAGAACAATTTTTCCAACTATTTAGTTAGTCTAATAAAAGAAATCACATTTACCCAGAGTACTTTGTCTACAAAAGTATTAATGACTGATTCACCAATGAACCGTCAAGGCCATCTAAACAAACACAGAGGGACTTGGATTATTATCTTTTTCTAGGGGTGCACCAATAGAGATTTTGGGGGCCAATACTGATAGCCAATTTTTAAGGAGGCATATTGGCCGATACTGATCTGATTTCCAATACAGCTGCATGCAGCTGGAAAGTCTGTTGTGGTAAAAGGAAAGGGGGGAGGGAAGGGGCATGGGGGGGGCAGATCAACGCCCCCCACGGTGAGGGAGAGAGTGGGGCTGGGGTTGGTGCTGCCCAGCCATGGCAGGGCAGGCACAGGACAGAGCTGTGGCTCGTTCAGGGGGCACAGGAGGGAGGGGCAGCTCCACCACTGCTGCTGCCACTCATCCAGGAGGGCATGGAGGGTGGGGGGCGTGTGCCCCCAGATCTGTGCTGGGCAAGCCAGGCAGGCTGCAGAGGC